CGGCTTCTTCAGCTAAGAAACGGGCCTCTTTCAGCTGGTTCTCTAAAGCGTCCATACGCTCTTCATCCGCCAGAGAACGGTTTTCAAGTATTTTTCGGGCACTACAGAAATAAAACGTTTACACAAGAGGAAAATATAATGTTATAAATTATTTACGGTCACAATAAGCTAAAAACCAAAGAAATAATAATATACTTATGTAAATTAATTAGTAAAAAAANCTCTTTTAGAAAAAAAAAAGATTTTCCTCAAGGCGTTCTCCGTTCAAAGGGCTTTCTCCATTTGAATTTTCCACTTAAGAGAAAACCCAATAAAAAATAAATAACTTATCCGTTAAAGACATTGAAAAATGGTAAAAAGTCCCTTGATGTCAACAAGAACGTCTTCTTTCTATTTCATTCTATTGCCATTAAATTAAAAATTGAAAATGTACAATATAGAAAATCCTAGTAGACAGTGTTAGCGCAAATAAAATTGTTTTGGAAACAAAAGAACAAACAAAAAAAACAAAAACTGGCAAAATGGCAGTGTTGATCGTCGATGTTTGAATGTTTTCGGTCTTCTTTTATTTTTTTAATGAAAACTGACCAACGAAAAACGCGAGCTACTAATAAGCATCTTGCGCTAACACGTTTAATATTACACGAACTTTCGAAAATTTACGCAGCCTACTGCGAAGCACCTTTAGTTTATAGATTTTCTTTTTTTTTTTTTGTTTTCTACTGATCGCGTACTACGGTACAGTGTGTCCAAAACGTAGTTTTATTCTAAGTACGATTTTAAAAAGAATTTTCAAAAAAAAAAAACGCACAAAACTGGAAAAAATAAACGAAAACGGATCGCAATAAATACAATATATACCGGGTGTTCACAAATACAAATGAGTTAAGGACACACTATAGAGAAAGACAGACTGTCGTATGTTCGCAATTAAATTAACAACCATCAAATCGTGACTGCAAATGTAGAAAATGCCTTTTGCTGCTATTTTGCATATATATATATATATATGTATATAAAATGTTAATGTGCGTACGTAAAGACAGGGTTTTCTCTATCACCACCAACTCCTATCACCTTCCTGTTGGGGTGGTGAATACCCCTTGAACTCCTGCTGCTGAAAGTAAGGGAGTTTGGTCGAGGTGGGTGGTTGTGAGTCGCGAAAATGTTAAAAAATATATATCTGTTCTTTTCTTATGAGACCTTTTAAAAAGTTCTAAAAATTTCTGGAATGATGTAAAAAGTTCCAAATTGTCTGCAACTGTTAAAATCGATATGGAATGTTCCAGAAAGTTCTAGAAATATCTGGAAATTTCCAAATTGTGTGCAACTGTTAAAATCGATATGGAATGTTTCAGAAAGTTCTAGAAATATCTGGAATGATCCGGGGGTAAGTCTCTCAATATCTAAGATAGAAATCTATATTATCTACGTTAAAAAGTGAATCCTTAAATATTTTATATACCATTAAACATGCGATGTATTTTAACCCGAGCAACGCCGGGTTTCGCTGCTAGTA